TCATTTGCCCCCTCCCAGGGGACCCCACAAGAAAAGCCCCTCCGTCCTTCCGAGGTAATCCTCCAAGCAGAGCCTCCCCGGTGCCGGTCCGCATCCCCTGCGCGCGGGCACCGATGCCCGGGGCCGCCTAGTGCTCTGGGGAATCCGAGAGGGATTCCCGACTTCTTCCCACTTGGCTAGGCTCCCTGATTCTTGCTGAACTTTGGTATAAAGAGAGATTTGTAGGTTTCCCGGTCTGGTTGCGCTCCTGGGGTAAAGGGGAGTTGCGCAAAACTCGCTTTGCTCTTTGCTTTCCCTGCGGACGTGGTCTGTCTCGGGGAACTCAAGCTTGAATCTGTTACGTAGGCTGTTCTTTCCTGATAGGTGCCCCGGCCGCCTCCTAGGCGAGGACCTGAGCGGGGAGGGGACAGGGGAGTTCGGAGACGTTTAAGAACTAGCGGTGGGTTTGTGGGGAAATGCCCAGCACAGTGCCGCCCCTGGGCGTGGTCTTTGCAGCCGCGTACCTAGGCTGCCCCCTGCTGGTCCCAGCCCATGCCAGAGGGAAAGCCCTCAACTCAGCTCCTCCAGAAAGTCAGGCGTGCAGGGCAGAAGTGCCTGTTCACACTGATCCATTCAGCCCTGGGGAGGGAAAAGAGCCCAGATTCTCCCTGGGTTCAGACACCGGCTTAGCTCCTCCTAGGTGAGTAGTGCAAATTAAGGTACTCCACCTCTGCGTGCCTCAGTTTCTTCAACTGTAAAATAAGGATGATGAAATAATAGTGCCCACCTCATAGTGTTGTTTTGAGGCTTGAACAGTTAAGACATGAAAGCACTTTGAAAATTCCTGGCAGGTAGTAAGCATTCCATGAGTGTTGACTGTCCTAACAATTGAAAAGCGAACAATTGTTACGTTGTGCTAAACACGTTCACTGCATTATCTCATTTAAGCATCACAAGAATTCTGTGATGTAGTTACCATTACTTGCCTGCATTTTACAGAAAATAAAACAGCTCATAGAAGTGAAGTAACTTCTTAAGGTCCCATCTGGCCTGAAGACCAGCAAGTCTGTGTTCATTCAAGCTACAGCCCAGCTACTCGAGCATAGTCTGGGGACAGCAGTGTGGGCATCCTCTGGCGGCTTGTTACAAGGGTAGAAGCCCAGACCCACCCCAGACCGACTGAATTAGAGGCTGCCTTTTAGAAGATCTCCAGGTGATTTGTTTGTTTGCACATTAAAGTTTGAGAGCCACTGGGTG